CCGACGTAACTTTATTATTTTTTGAATTCAAGAACGGCTGGACCGATCTTGAATTAATACCACGTATCTCTATATAAGGTGAATTCGATTGACCCAGATTAGATCGATTTGGGTTCAATTTAAGTGAATTTCTTCTGATCTAGATCATTTTTTTGTTGATGAGGGTGCACTGATCCAGCTTGAATCAATCGGCTATAGAGGAGAGTGATATAGGCTATTTTTTATCCCGAAAAAAAAAGTTCGGTTGCGTAAAACTCTGATGCACTGGAACGCCTATAAACAGCCCGGGGCGCTCTAGAGCAGCTCTGGAGTGCTTAAAATGCGTCACTGAACTCACTGGCAAGCGACTATGATATCGGATTTAAAAAAAAAAAAAAATTAAATAGAAAATCAACAACAAAATTTGAAAAGAAGTGTATTATTTCAAAATGTATTTACATGCTGGCAACGCAGCGGGTCATTAGCTAGTAACTAATAAAAATAAACTTTACTATGCTATGTTGGCGCTTTTGATGATATGTTAATTAATTCCACCTATATTGCCAGAATATCACACTGTGCCACGTATTGAAAGCGAATTGTGATGTGAATCACAAATAATGTTAAGAGTATTTTCCACACGTGTGCTGAAAAAGTACTTTTAGCATGCGTATTGAAAGAACTTTCGGTACGCGTGTGATATCTAGCGCTTTCCAAAGAACCAAATAGTGCGGCGTTTGTCACTTTTGTATGTGGTCGTAGGAAAAAGATAATACATCTATTAGAAGTTCGGGTTTACTAGGCAAACGAACTTATATGGTTATATGGTTTTGATGGCAAATAAAAGTCGAGAGAGAAATGTGATTATTGAGAATAAATCTGAAGGCAAAATGTAAAAATCAGGTAATGTGTGTTATGAGGGGATAAATCAATATTTTATTTCTCCACTTTGGTGAAATGAAGTTTCAAAATACATACATACACATCCTAATGGATCTGATTTTTTTTAATGTATTTTTCAATTACTTGTGCAATATCCGATGAAAACTGATATTTTTAGTTGAAAGGATTTCAAAAATTGTTTTTGCATTCGACTAGAAATGGCTTTTCTCGATTTTAATGTGAGAATGTCATTATTCCCGCACGCAAAATCATTGAAGAATGAAGCTCATTCTTCAACGATTTTTAGTGACATTTAGTTTTCAAAGTATACCCATCGGTACCTTCAAAATTGTCAAACCTTTTAAAATAATGAAATCTATCTGTCAGTTGGTTGGTAAGTAAGTGTCACCAACTGACATATTTTGCAAAAAAAAAAATCCAACTAACAGCGACGACAAATTTTTGTTAAAAAATGAAAAATAAAATCCAAAATCGAGAAAATAGTATAAAACTCACGTTGCAGAAGGCTATTCCCGCACTCATTCGTTCGTCCACTCAAGATGTGGCCTTCTGCAACTTGTATTTTAATATACTATTCTCGATATTGATGTATCATATTCTCGCACGCAAAATCGTTGGAGAATGAAGCTCATTCTGCAACAATTTTTAGTGTCATTTAGCTTAAGTACCTATTGGTATACCTTCAAAATTGTCAAACCTTCTAAAATAATAAAATCTACCTGTCAGTTGGTTGCTTACTAGTGTTATCAACTGACATATTTTGCAAGAAAAATCCCCAACTAACAGCGACCACAAAAAAATTTAAAAAATTGATAGAGAAAATAGTATAAAACTCAACTTGCAGAAGGCTATTCTCGCACTTATTCGTTCTTCTACTCGCTCCTTCGATGCTCGTAGCCAAATTTCGAATTTGTGCGGGAATAATGTGGCCTTCTGCAATTTGTATTTTATTATACTACAAAAAAAGGGTTGAAATATGCGACAAGATGACAAGGATAATGCCACCGTCCTAATGAAATCTAAAAATTACAAACAATAAATTCAAAAACCTGACAAGAATGATCCATCAAGCTACTGAAAGCTTAGTAGAGATCCTACGAAAGCCAGACTAATAGGGAACACCAAATTTGTCAAAATGTGTTGCAACGCTGCTTCAACCTCATGTAAAAAAATTAACCCCTAAAATTTTAGTATCCATTGGTATACCTTCAAAATTGTTAATATCATGCATTCGACTCAGTTTGTCAGGAAGAATCATCTCCGGCCTGAAGATATCTTGGTCAGTTTTGACGTCGTGTCCCTATTTACCAAAGTCCTGCTGATGTAATCTCTGGTTTTTAGATCCCAAATATTTTCATATATCACATCAAGCTTTTCCGGGCTTGCCTGGGAATGAGTTACTTTCTGCGGAAAGGTGACTTCTATATAAAGAGTTTCTAGAAGAAGGTAATCGTCCTTCGACCTCAAACCGTCAGTATTAAATCAAATAGTACTTTACTGTCTAGAAAAAACTTTTCATTGCCAAAGCATATCAACTTAAATAATAAAATAATAAAGCTTAATATCTATGAGAACAATTTTAAATTTTACCTACGTTAAAAATAATATGTTCACTAAGTGTCTCCAAGGAATTCTTCAATATCATAGTAGGCTGTAGTCAAGAGGAACTCCCTTACCCCCTTTCTAAACCTCCCGTATGAATGTGAAGACCTAACGCTATGTATGTATTTATATTAGCATGTCCGAAGTAGATGCATTGCGCGGGCGTTGCGGGCGATTTTGTGTACCCGCAACGCACGCTTTGTTTAAAATACAAACATGTTTGAATTTGCACGCAGAACTCGTACGACGATGCCGACGATGGAAGTGTTGATTAATGAAATTCAGAAACGTGATGTTTTATGGAATAAAAGAAATGCGTTTGGAGTTTGGATCTGCACGTATTATTCGTTCACAATCCGATGTCCACAGGTACAGGTAAAATGTATCACCTTTCAATCATATTTGATAGGGAAAGGTGATAAATTTACCTGCACCTGTGGACATCGGATTATGAACAAGGATATAGCTATTGATATAAATGATGAAATTCTCCGAACTTTAATCGTTTTCGAAATATTTCATAGGGTGATCGCTTTTCCTTCCTTTGCCATTCTTCTTAACATTTTCAATTTCAGTAGACTATTTCTAATAAAAGTACACGTTCTGGTTCCTCCATTTTATAAATGCAAAGCAACCCGAGAGACAAGAAGGAACAACAATCGACCATCTCGTGTGCACATTGGACATAAACGCAGTTGTCGCTTCTTTTCAATGGTGCGTGCGTTCGCCGCATCGCTCGAATCGTGTTCACGCTGGACATTGCGTTTAGACTTTCCTAGACATTTCATTCTATTGCATTAAAATTGGCATGCAAGATGTTTACTTGCCAGGCGTGTATAAGCATGACGCAGTCAAAATTCTACAAGAAATGAAGCTAGGTTTGCAAGATTTTCTGAAAGGAACTCTAAGCATAAACCTGAGGGCTCTTTTTTGTAAAATAAAAATGGAGTTGAAATTTCTAGTACTGCAACAGCCCCAAAATGCCATTCCATAAGTAATGAGTGACTTCACCAGAGAAAAATATGCGTTCCTGAGAGCTCGCAGCTCCAACTGTTCTGAGAGTACTCTCAAAGCATAACAGCTAGATGATAACCTACTAGAGAGTGCCACAATATTCTGCTCAAACTTGAGACTCTCGTCCACTGTAACTCCAAGAAAATTAGCACAGGCGGTGGGAGGGATAAAATCACCACATAAGGAGATATTGGATAATGAGCACTTGGAGTTTAACATATTGGTCCTTGATATGTTGAAGGATAGATTGTTGCTGATGTTTTAAATCGACATTGATCATGCCTTCCAAGAATTCTCCACTGTTCGCCTACATGACAAACTACCTGCTGACGATCACTTGAGTACCACTGAACCCAATTAAGAGTCACACCTCGCTTACGGAGCAACACAAAATGATCGACACAGCCGCTGATGAAAGGTGATTCCTCGGGTGATTCTCATTTCTACTCAAATAGATATCTTCCAGAAGGAAGAATATCGCATCAGATGTTCCTTTGCCACCCTGGAAACCAAATTGATTATCGGAGAGGGACCTGTTTAGATTGAGGAATGAAAGAACTCTAGTTTTGACCAGTTTCTCAATATGTATGTTGCCGATAGGTGGATAAAACATACTTCGTTGTTTGGGCTATCTAAGCGTACAGCACCAGAGTATGAAATTTAGGACGGAAGTACAACGCGACTTTCTTGGTGTTCTGATAGCGAGATCTGGCAGGGCATCCCATAGTGTACTGTAAACTCACAAACATTGAAAAGTATAACATTATAACATTAATGGAACATGCTCGAAGAATCTGTGTACCACAACATCTGCATGAAGAAAGAAATTACCTCAAAATAGCTTTTCAATCTAAGGGATACAGTGCATTTTAGATTGATAAGGCTATGGAACCGAAACCTTTGTCACGTCAAGATTCAGGTAAGAATCCATTGATTACCAGCTTCACGTCCGCCAATTATCTCTCAGGCGACGCACAGGATCGGACATTTTTTGACAAAACACAATGTAAAGAGGGTCTTCAAACCAACAAGAAATATTCAAAAATTCAGATCAGCTAAAGATGAGAGGAATCCACTGTCAGCTACTGGATTATAGATTCAAATTTTTTCGTTACACTTAGAAGATATTTTTTAATTTTGTTCTTCTAAATTAAAAAAAGCATTTTTTTTTTCTTCAAAAAACACTAAATTTATCCTAAATCTATCATCGATGGAACAATACATTTAGCCCCCTACAAGATCAATAATTTCCAGTTTTGTGAATCCATGTAGCTTCTGCTTGGGCTTTTTTTCTTTATTTTCGGTGGTTTCCACTCGAGTTAGTCGACTTGATGAAAACAACAACTAGTCTATAAGTATGTTTTGTTTACGGTAATGTAGTCCACAAAAGAAATCCGAAATTGCTTTTATCGACAAAAAAGCCCTTATCAAGTAATTTTTTTTCAGTAGGCAGTATTAACGGTTAAAGGAGCTTTTTGTAATGGTTATTTTCTTTGCCTTTCAGGTGCAGAAGATGATGTGAACCGTTTCTCCGGCAACGACACACACACGGATTTTTTCCGATTGGTTTTGCGAGATGGAGAGTCACTACTCGTCGGTGGAAGGTAAGATTTTGCTTTTAAATCAATAAAAAAGCCTTTAAATGATCAAATTACACGATATTTTGCAACAACCCGAATCGTGAACATAGCCACCCTTTTATGATTATCATAGTCTAGGAGGCAGTGTCGATTTTCGGCAATTATTGTCCCAGTCAGACAACATGGATAGAATTGTAGGGTTAGTAATTCTAAGCAAAATTCATATATTATTAGGGGGGTTTTCCAATGGGTTAAGGCGCAAAATGCGTTAGAGCTTACGAATGCACGGCCCTTTTTTTCCAGTGATAAAAATAGGCCTACTAATGAGAAGTATACTGAAGTTACATAAAAAAATAGTCCGGCTAATCTGTGATGGATAATACGTCTGGCAAGTGAAATATTGAAGATCTGAAAAATTTCAGCCAGACTCACTTTGCACTATCTGAGATAAGCCAAATTGCTATTCTCATATACTTTATGTTCTATTGTAGTGAATGTGAAATATTTAGGACTGGGAAAATTAATGTACTTGCATTTTCCATTGATCTTGTGAACCCATCCGAAAATTTTTGCGAGACTCAAATATTCTTGTTTTGTATCACCAAGAGAACAAACTATTTAATATACACCAACTGGGAAAATAAGTGTTAAAAAATGTCACTGCCTCCTGGACTATCAGCACGTTAGAGTCGATTTACGTTGGACCCCAATGAATTCTTTAACGATGGACGACATATTTTTGGTTATGACCAGACCGTTGCATTTTGTGTGCGGAATTTCTATTCTCAGTTTCAGGTGTGGTAACAATAGAGCTTTTTTTTTGGTGGGATTTTTAGTTTCAATTAAGCACAACAACTCAATGCGTTACAGGAAACTAAACGGCTAATATCTGCATAATACATGCTTTATCCGATTTTTTATTGGCTCGCGCTTTTATTAACAATTTCATGTACACCACAATGCAATTCGAATATAATCGGTCAATAGAATTGTGTTGATAATTAAAACATTAGGTTTATTCGGACTTGTTTCAGAATCAGTTAACTTGGAATTTGGTTATCGATGTTCAAACATTCTGTTCTTGAACTGCAAATTCGACAATGACTGATAGTTTTCATGCTTTTGGCACTGCGGGAAGTCCTCTAATCTCATGATCTCATGCATTTTCCTTATTCTGTTTCAAAAAATTGGTCATAGGCATTGTTAATTTTACAAAGTTTTTAATTGGACCCCGCACACTTCTTATGGGATTTCTGACCGCGGTCAAATTTAACGTTTTTAAGATAGGTACAGGTAGTTTAATGTCCAAGAAATGCACACATTTTATATGCATTTACATCAACCTGTCACCTAAGCGTGAGAATACCTATCAATCCTATATAGTACTAGCTGACCCGGCGAACTTCGTACCGCCTCTGAATTATTAAATACCTATTAAATGTTGTGTGAACGTATCTATTAGCTGAATTAAATTCAGTTTTTCTCGATGGTGAATTTGGCTTTGGTTGAAAAAAAATTAATGTTTACTCTCTGGATCAGAAGTCACCTAAAATTAAAATTTTACATCATCCCTTTTTAGGCAGCTTGTGGGCATTATTCTTGTAAAGTGTACAATCAAATAAATAAACTCAGGCACAGGAATGTTCAGAGAATGTAAAGAAAACAAAAAAATCTCCAGCGCAGCCCTGTTTCACTCTATCTGCACTGCACTACTCCATCTGTTCTAATCTATCTGCACTATTCTATCTGATCTACTCTTTCTGCACCACTCTATCTGATCGGAATAGTGGATTGGTTCTGTTCGGAATAGCTCCAGTTCCTGAGTAGCATTGTTCTACTGTATCTGCAATGAAATTACCGCGCAACGGCGAGCTTCGTTCTAGGTATCAGAAATAGCGCCGTATACAAAATGGTTTGCAATGAAAATGTGGCGGTAAACTTGGTATCGGTTATAAGAGATGGCGCCGTATGCGGGCTTAGTGAATTTTTTTCATAAATAAGTAAAATAGGTAATTTTGTTTTTGGTCTTTTTTTTGGATTTTTTCGATTTATTATGCTAGTATGGACAAAGACAAATCCAATTAAGCAAAAATCATAAAAATCAGTCCAGCTGTTCTCGAGTTATAAGTGCTAGAACCAACACAACTGTGTTTTATATATATAGATTATAATGATAACAAAATGATCCTCCATTTATTGAATAATTCATTTATTACAAAAAATGTGATAAATGAAGAACCGCTCGACCGATTTTGTGCATACTCCACATAAACTATCTAATAAATAGTCCGAACAAAGCCTAAACATTTGGTTTGGCTAGGTGAGATTATTAGGTGACAGGTAAAGTGTGTTTTTTTTTAAAGATAAAAGTCAAAATGACATTATGTTGGCAATACAATGTAAAATTGTCAATGCTTTCAAATTTTTTATGTAGAAAAGGCATTTGCTGCCAACATAGTTACTAAATTTTTGACTTGGGGAATTATCTTTAAAAAAAAACAGACTTTAAATGCAAATGCATATAAAATGTGTGCATTTCTCGGACAATAAACTACCTTTTTTTACTACTAACCTGAGAAATAGACATTATTCAATCTATTTTTCTAAGAAAAAATTGAATTTCTCTCCCTAGGTTAATAATGAAAATAATGAAAAAATACCTAGGTCAATAATGAAAATGACGTCATGACGCAAGGATATTGTCATGTTTCTATTGGTTCAATTTCAATTTCATACGTCAATTTGAAAAAAAATACAGGTTTCTGTAGGTACATAGGAAGTTATATAAGCTGTTGATAGAGGGCAGCACTATCAAGAGGGCGTTCACAAAAAATAATTAGAACACAGATTTTAAACAAATTTTTTATTTTCTACTAGCAGTAGTAAAAAAAATTCTATATATTCCTCGGTAGAGAAAGTCATTATATACCTCAAGCATTATAAACCTCGGCGCTGCGCGCCTCGGTATATAATGACCAACTTCTCTACCTAGGTATATAATATACTATTATCTCCAAAACTAGTCATAGGATTAAGTTGTGCCCCTGGTAAATATTGATCAGAAAGGTGAGATCTATAACATACTGAAATTTGATGGTTAGATTTGACCGCGGTCAGCAATCCCATCAGAAGTGTGCGGGGTCCTTTCCGGTAGTAGTAACCTACCGATCATTAAAGTGCAATTTGATACTTCTCGCCCGCATTATATCATCCATATGCACATTTTATTCTGTAATCCAGATAATACGTTTTCCATTGCTTCTTGAAATGTATCTGGTGCATTTTTTACACCAAATTTAGTGGCATTCGGAGTGAACTATAATGACCATTTTCTACGTTGAACGCTGGTTTTTGTATGTTTGTATTTCCCCTTAGTAAAATCCAGAGGCTAGATTCAGGGTCGTGACCTAGTCGATCTGATAATATGTTGGTGATATTTGGCAAAGGATATATATCTGCGATATTTTCTTTATTGGCTAACTCCCATTTTTCAGTGGTTGATAGCAGGAGTGTCATGATTTTATGATACAATCCAGCCAGCTGAAGAACATAGACTGCTTGATGAGTTAAGCGTGTTGTCTTCTAACTTTTTTTTAATTTTTGTTGTGGCTTTTTGTACTTTCACATACTGCAGATATAATTCTTGTCCATATATTATTTTCTTTCCAATCATTCATTATACTCTTCCCCTGCCATATATTTGTACTCACTCTCAATTGCCTTACTATTTTTCCATGGATTTTACTCATCCTCTATATATAATTATCGCAGCTCCTTTTTTTTTCTTTTTTGTGAATTGTGGTCTGTGGATACTATGTAGTTTTTCATTCCACTGGTATCTTGTCACAGATCACCTAATACGGATGCGTAAGTACGTATACTTGCCGTCGACGATATCGGATGGCAGCAACCCCACGCATAGATAAAGATCGCCCGCGTCAAGACAATTAACGTGGCCGAGTGCGTGAGCATGTTCCAGCCTGTGTGTTTACATATTTTTGCGGGTAGAAAAAAATATTTTTTTGCTGTTTGTGAACCATTTAAAGAAATAATATTATATTATTGAGCTTCCGCATTTATATAATAAATATGTTCAAAATACATTGATGTGGCATTGGTGCGGCCAGCCTATGTCTATTAAATTAATATTGAACCACGAAATCGCCGCTCTTTCGCATCTGTATGTAGGTAATCTGTGATCTTGTTCCCATCTGAGTATTTCTAGAAGAAGTTTCGTATTGGGTCAGTTAGTTAAGTTAGCCCCCACCCCCATAGAAAATTTCTGTATGAAAATTATCCCATAATTTTGCTCTCATTTTGCTCCACTAATTTCGATGTTTGCTCCATTACAGTGGAGAGACTATGTGGCCTATTAGGTGGGGGGGGGGGGGCTGAATTAACGCTAGCCCCCCAGTGAAAATTCACAAATTTGATCATGCTCATTTTGTTCTCCGAGTTTTGCTCCATTTTGCTCCATTATCGGCGAGTTTTGCTCCATTACCAGGAGAGACCTACAGAGCTCCCAAGAATCTCTCCCAGCCCCCCCAAGCGAAAATTTTGAAATTTGATCATGCTCATTGTGTTCTCCGAGTCTTGCTCCATTTTGCACCATGATCAGCTCGTTTTGCTCCATCATGAAGTACTCCGGCTACAATTTTACACATTCGAGCGAACAGAGTTTGGCCCTCTCAAGCTGCTCTCACTTCTCTCGCCTGTTTCCCATGATGCACCTGTAACTGATTTTCAAGCGTCCGAGTGCAAAGCGCATTGAGTATAATGGGCGTGAAATGCTCCAGGTGCTTCGCACACTGGACCCGAAAGCGGCTCTGGAATGAACTACACAGCTCCCAGGAATCTCTCCTCGCAACACGTGTGAAAATTTTGGAGTTTCTATATGCGCATTTTGTTCTGAGTTTTGCTCCATTTTGCTCCATGATCGGCGAGTTTTGCTCCATTGCCTGGAATGGCCTACGAGCTCTTAAGAATCTCTCCTAGCCCCCCCACACCAGTGAAAATTTTCTTTG